AATCAGTTATGATCCATTTCAATTACCATTTCTTGATCAAGTCCAAGAAATCCACCAAGAACTGTCTCACAAAAGCACTTCTAGGAACCCCATTATCACTTCCACTATTTGACATGTACATTACCTAAAGCATTCCTACCCAGAACCAGCTGCTCCAGGAAGGATTTTAGCTCCACATCAGGAAATTTGATTTGGAAGTGGTGTTTGCCAGGAGGACCAAGATTCAGCCCAGCTCTAACCTGGTGCAGGAGAAGATGGATCAGCCTGTGGGCCCCCACATGGCTCCAGACAACATTCTTGCTAGGGGCTCTTGTGTACCAGGGGATGCTTTGCCCATAGCATCCACAAATGATATTTCCAATCATGTATCTCCTGTCATTAGAAGAGTAACTGTAAATTACTTCTGCCTGGGGCAGAAAAGGAAGGATATTTTTACAGAGAGCCAGGGTAAGCCAACCCAGCTATATAACAAGGTCTGAAAAAATGACCTACACTTCACTCAAAGGAAACAATTATGTTCTAGCAATTATATTGGTTGGCTTTAAACTGACAGACACTGTTAGTAAAAACCATGGTCAGCTATTTGGAGCAGAGGATTGAGCAATCTAGTCTTGCTTCACTATCAACAAATCCAATTATTTATTAAGGCGACTCTTGTCAGGAATTAACTTATTGTAGCATCCAATGGACTGTGAGCAACATGCACATGATGAACCGGTGCAACACTTTTCCTGTCTAACAGTTTTACTGATAAGTTTGGTTTAGTTTTGACACAAATTATCAACATGTAAATTTCATTTTAAATAACTCATTTTTAAAAGAAATCAAAAATTCTTTAAAATTAAAAACCTCATCCAAATATGTGGGGGGGAGCTTTTTCAAATGTCAGTCCTTGTTGTGGCAACTTAATACACAAATTACAAGAAGGAGCAACCTGTTAAGTAAATATAAAGAAGTAATTGTATGTATAAAAGAACAGGAAAGTATTAATCCTAATTAAGGTATAAAAACAGGTCAAAGCTCTGCATACACTAAGATGTGCCACTCTTCATTTTAAATAACAGAAACAATATTGCATATGGCAAGAACAAGGAGAGGTTCTGAAAGCAAATGAAAGCATGTGAAAAATAACAGAAAGACAATTTTAAACACTGGGGGAGTTCAAAGCAAAACAATTGTCAGAAGTTGGACATGGGGACAATCTACTTGCAAAGGAAAAAGTTAGGTTTGATTCTGGACATATTAACTTCAGGAATTCACGTCTCCTTGGGTGTCTTTTTTGTCATGAAACCCCCTCAGAAGTAAAATTTAATCAAACATAATGCATCTCTTCACAACTCTGATTTAACCTAAAACCAATCTCCAGTCATGGCGTGGAGAGTTTCAGATTACTAAGAAAGCCAGACTAACAGCCCCCTCTAGAATTCAAACCATTTGAACTTTGTTAGCACCACTTTGCTTTAATTTATACTCTTTCCTTGGTTTTACAAATTTGCTCATGACAGATGTATAATAAAAATACAACTGTTAAAAACTTTGTTAAATTCCAATTATTAAGTCTGTCTGGTGTGACTCAGTAATTTTCATCTGGAACAGTTAAGAGTACTATGGGAGAAAGAAGGCAATTTTCATTTTGAGAAAATAAAACCTTTTGTATTTAGTAACTTTAAAAATTGTTGGACTGTAATACCTTTCCTTATCACTTCATGACACTGGTATCACTTGAACAAACCCTATGGATCCAAGTCAAGAGCCACCAGCATTAATGGAGATCCTCCTCCTGACTTCACTTGCTTCTAAAGAAACCTCAGTGGCTGACAGATACCACAGCAAACTCCTTCACCGTAATAGTACAAAAAATATCTTGTAGCCATCTCTTCAAAAGATGAAGTGCTTGATGAGAAACATTATTAGCTTTGGAGGAAGGGTTCCATTACTTCAAAATTTAACAGCAGTGTCTATGAAATTTTGTATGGATTTCAACATTTTCAATGTTATTGCTAACTCCTGTTAGTAGAAAGTCATGCCCTGCTGTGTTTTAACCTTCCTCAACTCTTCAGTCACATTTATCAGCTTGAATTCTGGATGACTGTATAACACATCTGTGAAACTGATTTTATACATTGGTCATAGACAGAAATATATTGGTGAACAGCTGTAAAGAGAAAAGTGAAAATGCTCTTTGCAACCAGGAGTCATGTTTGAAACAAGGGCTGTTGAACTGCTGCTGCTTCCTAAGATGAAATAAAAAGCTTCATCTAACAATTGAGTTTCTAGAATGAAAAATTATTTAAACACTAAGCAGCAATCTTGACTCTTTAGAACTGAGTTAATTACTATCATCTAGAAATAAGTCATTCACAGTCATCCAGAAATGTGTTTCTGATGTGTCTGTAAATAAGTATTACACTATCTATTACTCCAACAAGATCAGCAATTTCCTACTGCTGTCCTTCCAGATGCCTGCTTACTCCATATGCTGCCCACCAGGCTCTGGGGCATTCACTTTCATTAAATGAATACAGGAATTCACATAAAATTCTTCCCATGTCTAATTATTCAAGATCTACATTATTTTAGCCTCTCATTTGTTTATTTTGTATGCAGCTGCAGCAACTTTGTCAGGGGCTCAGACTCTGACAAACAACTCCCTTCAAGTCTACTTTTTGCCCATTAAATTCAAAATGAGCAACAACTTCAAACTCCCGATGGCTGCGCTGCTGAGGGATGCTCCTGCTCCAAAGGTCAGATGAGCACAGCTTTGATGGCTGGCAGCAGCATCCCACTGGTTGGACTGTGGACTCCAGAGTTTCCCTTTATTTCTGAGAGCAAGCCTTACTGAGATCAGGGGTCCAGCCCTGTGTTTTCAGGTAATGACCTTTCATCACTCCTTTGCATAGGGCTGCCCCTGGAATGAGGTCTGAAGCCATGTAATTTATTAACTATAAAGAACCCATAAGCTTCTTATGCCCAGGGCTAGGGCATCTGACAAAAGCCCCAGACATGGTGCTGAGAACACCCCCAGCACCTGCCTTCATCAGACCAGAAAAACAGCACATCTTATTCTTTACGCATTTACATGTAGCAGGATGAAGCAGACTTATTTTCCTGGATGCTAATGTGATGCCAGCTGGAAAGGAATATCCCAAAGCACGTTAGACCTGGTAGGACTCATCTTCCATACATGGCTGTAACTAGTTAGAACACAAAGACACTGTCTCAGTCTAAATGATGCTTTTAAAATAAATGCTTTTCATCTGAAAATATATTCAAAGATTAAAACTGAGCTTTAAAGGAACAGTCTGCAATGTGGCTGATTTGAAAGGCTAAAACTTTTCCCAACCATTTCAAGTATGAGAAAATTCAACAGCTCTCCATTTGTGATTCAAGCACTTGGTAAACACACTCCACAACTGTACCATGGCTGTGTGCCAATGAAATGGTGAGTCAGCAGGCAGGGGAGGGAATCAAGTGTCAAGAATGCATTTAACCCTCGCTCAGAGAACATTCTTCTTACTAACAGAATGAAAGCACACCATAAAAATGAAAAAAATTACTGGAACTTTTAAACCACTAATACAAGCAACTATTATCTCAATTTTCTCCCAACTTTACAGAATTTCTCAAATTTTAAATTAGGACAAACACTTAAGAAAACAGCAAACTGATGAGAAGTATGTTCATGAACACATATCAGTGCAGTCCTAAAATCTTTACTCTGACCAAAATCCCAGTGATAACTCTGCCAAGACAGAGCTGAAGGGTTTCATGAGAGTATTAGAATTGGTAATATTTAATATTTGCTCTGATATAAAAAGGACTACATTTTCCTAATGAAAATACAGTTCAACTCATCTGTCCTATTCCCAAAGGAGCATCTGTGCACACTGTTTTGCTTCATAGTGTTCTTGTGGAGTGGATGATGAAATCACGAAATTTCCTAAATCATTTTTAAATTAACCCATCGTAAAAAAATTCCCCACTGAAGCATCGCTGTGCACGATCACTCTAAATACTCTATTCAGGATGGAAAAAGAGCATAAAAAAGTGAGGATTAAAAAAAAAACATTTGAAAGAGTACTCAATCATCCACCTGAAGATTTGAACACTCATTTAGAAGGTTGTTAAACACTGCCAAACCTGAATGACAGCATTTTATACCTACTTTCTTACTCACTCTTCACAGGTGTAAATAACCACATTGGACACCTGGGGAGGAGGGGAAAGGAAGGGGGAGAAAAGAGACCAGTTATTACCTTCAGAGTGTTAGTTAAGAGTGATTATAGACCAGCTGTGAATTTACAGCTTGCCCCCATTAGGGAACAGACAATTTCCAGTTAAGATTGAAGACAGCCAGCTCACACTGCTTGAGCCTACAAATGCCTACACAAAGCAGCTTTTTTACACATCTGGCCCCACTGACCTCCATGGCCTGAGCCATCTCCTCCAGGAACTCAACTCACAGCCAGTATCATCCATTTACTGTGTTTGTCCTGCCTTGACTAAGCCTGGGCTGTGAAATGGCAAAGAATTAGTTTGTATAGACACCTAGTATGTCCAGGGTGGAAATACAGTAGGGATCCATTCTGAGATCTGTGAAAGTCTTTTCTCCCATTTAATGCCCCTCATAAAGACTGTCAAAATTTAGACAAAACCATCACTTATGGCACTAAGAGACAAGGCCTGACAAACCTTCCTGGAGTGATCAGAAATACTTTCCCCCCATCCTTCAGCTCTTTCTGAAGATGTTAACAACTGTAGCAGGGGCTGCAGATTACACAGAAACATCTGAACCAAAGAAGATAAATTAGAGCTGACTATGAGCTCACATGGTTAACCAGAATCTAGGACACTTGAAAGATGGCAATGTCCCATGGAAGAACACAGCAGCAGGAAGGAGATTTTCTCTTCAAACACCACATTCCCCTCCATCATCTTATGGACTGGAAATACAGAACTGTGACCAAAGAAAAATTTTATGAGAAACCAATGTCACTCACTTTGAAGAATTCTGCCATGGGTTGCACTTGACCTACAGAAGTGTGAGAAGAGAACCAAGTTCTGCAGAATTTCAGTTTAGGAAGAAAATTCCCTATGCATGCTGCTAAATTCCTGCTGAGATTCTGAAAGAAAGAGAAATGTAAAAGATTGTCAGTGTGCAGTATTAAGCTTGCAGTTTATGGAAGAAAATCAAGACACATCTTTCTTATATGCAGAAGGCTCCAAGTAATCTTCCATCATTATAACAACACTAATTCCCAGAAATCCCACAGAGCTCCAGAGCTCTCTAGAGCACTATTTTATATACCCAGCACTCCTCCATTAAAAATTATCTTTTAAGAAAAGACATTTAAAAATAGGAAATTCTTTCACTTTCCTCCCAAACCCAAAACTTCTTTGTTTTCTTTGTGTACCTTCCTGGGAAATTACAACACCTCCATTCCATTTTACACTGTCTGGAACTACAAAACACACCAGGACAGCCAGAGAGCAAAGGAAATGATACATGTAGGGACACTACAAGAATAACATAATTGTTGATTTAGCACCAGCAATACCTGAACACTTTTGAGTTTGGAGGCTTATTGTATGAAGGCTCTTCACCCAGATAATGTGAAAAATTGTTGAGAATTTTATTTATATAATTATCAATTTTTTTGCAGAAAGCATTGGCAGATACTATTTTAAATAATTTCAGATACTCAGCACTAAATAAGTGGCTCACTTTCAAGAACCAACCAAGAAAAAACATTCCACAGAATGTCATATATTCCTTCAAAAGGAGAGTTACATTTCATTAGCATGGATGCTTAAGTGGAATAAGTCTCAGTGTGGGGACTGTTTTCAGCAATAGTTGGTAATTAAGTAGTAAAGTACTAATAAAATGTTTAGGCAGGTTGCATTTAAATAGAAGTATAATGATATGTAATTACTAAAAAAGAGTGCCAAAAGCATTCTGCAACAGACCACATTCAGTTTTCATGCACTGTGCAAATCCATTTGAAAACAGAAAGGATTCCAATGTCCACTGTACAGTGGCCAGGACACAGGCAAGCTGTGAAATTTCCACTCTCAGTCACAGAGGAGAACCTTTTACTTAAAAGCACACTCTAAGTTTCTCTCACAGAAGCTACAGAAATTAAAAGAAAATATTCTTAACACATACAGGAACAAATAAGCACGCAGTAGCAGTGAGGCCAGCAGCTCTTCTGCAGGGTCATAATAAAAAACCACCAGGAAAACAAGGAAGAGCCTGTGAGGAAGGATAATACTCACTGACTTCACCACGGGGGACACAGCAGGAACCTGTCCCTGCAGGACTTGCCTAAGGGTGAGGCATTCAATTCAAAAGTAAACTTGGTGGAGAATGTACCAAAATGTTCTGCAGCAGCAAGGTATGGGGAGATAAGTATAATTCTTCATGGGAAAGCAAAAAGGGCAGTAGACAAAAGGAACTTGGCACAGCCAGGATGAATTTTAACCAAAAGAAAATGCAAATATTTAGAACTTAAAAATGTGTCAATGAAGATAAAGGCTCAATGGAAAAAAAATGCATAAGGGTAAAGCTGAAATGCATAAAATTGCCACCATTGCAGAGATTCAATAAAAATACTGCAGAGACAAATGTTTATTTTTTAGATATAATTTATACTATTATCTCCAGAAGATAAAAACCAGTAACACCAAGTACAGAGGTATTTTGATTTTCTAACAACTCCTCTTATGATGATAGTAGTTCTCAACCTGTGATATAAATGTAGTAAGTAGCTGACAGTCTAGTAGGTCCCAAAATTGTTTGCAGAATCTTTATATTCTTTATAGATCTTTGTATTTCTCCATAATAGCCATTAGTGTCTTTTAGACTAACTAATGACAGGCTGCCATGAACACAGGCCTGTTTGTTCTTAAATCAAATCTAAATGTCATTCATATAATTACTATGGTGACAAATAGTTTATACATATGCATAATAATTGTGAACACTTTAATTTTACTGTATATGAAGCTAAAGATTGGCAGGTCCTTCCAACGTAAATTGTTTTATGATTTGCAAATTAACAGAGTATATCTCTGCACCACTGACCCCTTCTGACTTCCCAAGGCCAGAGCTGCACTTGTGCTTAAGGTAATCCATGGAATGACATCATGGCAGCAATGGGGCTCCTTCCAAGTCAAAAACCAGACACCTCTTGATGTGATTTTTTTTTCAAAATATGCATCAATAGAAATTAGGTACCAAATCCACAGAGCTGCTTTGAGAACCTGTCCTTTGTGTCTGCCCTGGCAAGCTTTCAGTGTTTTGGCAAAGCCTTTGTTCGCCTAGAGCTGTGCCAATAATCCCTTTTAAAATGCCAAAGTGCTTGCTTTTGTAAGCACTGCCTGACTCCAGCATGACCAGTGAGCATGTGCTTTCACAGTCATATTCTTAATATGTCCAGGTGTTTAAAAACATTCTTTCTTGATCACAAACCTCCCTATCACCTCTCAAGAAACAGAGGTAGGCTAAAATACTGGATTTAGAGGTATTTGGGTTATATTTGCCTTTGTATTATTTGCAGATGATCTACAAAAAGACTAAACCATTGGTCTGCTTTTGTTGTTTGTTTTTTTTTCAATTAAAGCAGCTGACCATAGGTTATATGCATGAAAATAACTACCTTTTTAAAACTGGAGGAAGCTCTTGCTCATTTTACCAGAATGGTTCATTTTTTAGAGCTTCAAATCTTACAACTAGAAAAAATAGGTCATCTTCAACTGATATAAAAAGACTTACAACCAAGCAAGTACAAAATGCTGAACCCACATGCTTGGGGTGAGGCTCTCACCCTGTAAGTTAACTAATGCACTAAAATATTCTCATTTCTATTCTTCAAGACCTCCCAATTTTCCCTGTGTATAATCTGTGCTTTGAACATTAAGAAAGATGACATTTATATTAAGGGAGTACGATATTCAACGGGTTAATGTTCTACTTTGTGAACAGATTACCAAGAAAGAACCTTCCCTTGTTATAAAAGGCATTTCTGTTCTGTGGATTCAGAAAGCTGATTTCACCATGTAACTGAGTCATCAAGGAAACTGCTGAGCAGCACCAGCCAAGAAATAAAGATCAGGTTGCATCTACTGCTGCTCAATCCTGCACCTTTTTTTGCTCAAACCCATTTGTACACAGTCACCTCAATCTCTTTAGAATTCCCCTTCTACAGCAGTTTGGTTTCCAGATGTGATAATCCATAAAGTGACACTGCTGTAGCACAACAGGAACTTCATTCCCACCCTCCCAGACAAGTGTCCTGACCCATAAATCCCAACACTGTGTTTGCTGTCTCCCACTGATCTACAGAATTAAGAATTATAAAACTGAACAGAAAGTGGACAAATTCACTGGTTCCAAATGTGGCAGTAAGGTGAATCAGTAACACCTAAATTCTTCTCCCTTTTCTTTCCCAGTCTGTGATGTTGGCAGACATGGTATTAAGGGACACACGTATGTGGTGGACTTGGGAATTTGGTGTTATGGTTAGACTCAAGGGTCTTTTCAAACCTAAATTATTTTATGATTCTATTACAATAGAGATGGGATCCTAAACCCAGATTTGTCTCTGTTGCCAAGATGCTGTGGTAACACAGACAAAGATAGTTCCTGTCCAAGGAGGAGGAAAATTCACCATCAGAAATACAGTTATAAATACAGATACATGGAAATTTGATATTGACTTTGCTGCACTAAAATCAATAAGAGATTTTTCACCGACTTGAATGGATCAAGCCCACAGATGGGAGATCCGCCAGCTTTGCTCATCAGCCTCTACCTAGCCTTTGTACAGTCTCATTTATTACAATCATCACATTAGAGGGAGGTCTTTAAGATCAATACAAAAGAGAAACAGACACAGTAGGTTTGTATGAAATGTAAAAATGGGGTTTGAAGATGGGGATCAAGAGACAATGAGACAACAGACAAGCAGGAAATAGCACAGGTTAGCAGGTGATACAAATCGTTACAACTCCAAGAGAACTGTGAAACATCTTCATGAATACAGGGCTTGGAAACTAGCAGGGAAAAGCACAAGGAATGAAGTAGTTGAAAATAGGGCTTTACTCCAAGAAAAGAGGATGGTCGAGTGCATTTTTATATAAAGGTGATTAGGGGAAATAAAATTATTCTCTCAAAATCGGGACTTGGAATTACTCAATGGATTTGTTGTCACCCTGCACAGTGGAAGGCATCGGGTAAGAAGGCTTTTAGTGATTTGAAGGGAAGTAGGGACTAGTCTGAACATGAGGGACAGAGTAATGCACTGACTGATTCACACAGGATTTTGAAGTCTGAAGCAGCAATTGTTAAAATAACCACAGAAATTTAAAAACACCAAAAATTGAGTGTTCTCAAAGTGCACAATTAAATTAATAAGCAAATGAGCTGTTAGTGGGTATCACATGATTGATTTTTGAGTTCACTGCTATGAAGATTTGATTCAGAAAACATAAAGATACTTCCACTGTGACTGACAGCAAGACAAATGAATTAGGGACTGCCAGCCAAAGAGTTTATTTTATCTCAAGAGAAGGGTTGCTTACTCATCTCTAGTCAACAGCCCCTTTTAAACATACTGGAAGTAATTTTAAAACCCCAAGGAATGATGGAATTTACATGATTTGTGAGGGTGGAAGACTGTGAAGTTTTCCTACATGACCAGTTATTTTCCAGAAAAATATCAGATGCTCTATCATCATATTTATGATATTTCCCCCAAATTAAGCTCTAGCCAATACAGTTAGACTCATCACAGCAGATCAAATTTTCTCTCCCTTTTTTTGCAATGTACAATTGTTGCAATCTGCTGTTTACTTTTCTCATGGTTATATTTCTGAATAAATCAGTGCCTTCAAATAATCAGTTAATACTTCAAATGAAGTTCAAATGAATTCAAATGAATCGGCCAGTTTAGAGAGAGAAAACAAGTAAGCAGGTCAAGGTGGTGGGTTTAGCTCTATGAAACCCAGGTTCAATCCTCTGCTCCAGCATGAGGTGCTCCATACATGTGGTGTGATATATAATTGCTTTTGGTATCAGTCTGAAAAATATTTAGGCACTTTCCACTGAAATCCCCTAAACTAGACAATCAGTGAAGAACCCTAGTCCATCAACAGTTTCTTAGAGCTATAGAATGATTTTGGCTGGAAGGGTCCTTAAAGATCATCTCATTCCAACCCTCTGCCGTGGGCAGGGACACTTTCCACTACACCTGGTTGCTCCAAGCCCCATCCCAGATTTCCAGGGATGGGCAGCCACAGCTTCTCTGGGAAACCTGTGGCAGTGTAGGCACAGTAAAGAATTTCTGAGTAAAGAATTTCTTCCTATCATATAGTGTAAACCTGCCCTTTCAGTTTAAAACCATTGTCCCTTGTCCCGTCACCATCTGCCCACATAAAAAGTCCCAATCTCTCTGCTTTTTATAAGCCCCCTTAAAGGCACTGGAAGGCAGAAGAGACAAATGAGGTCTCCCTGGAGCCATCTCTTCTCTCAGCCCCAGCTCTCAGCCTGTGTCCATGGCAGACAGGCTCCAAGCCCTCTGAGCATCTTCATGCCCTCCTTTGGACCCCTCTAGCAGATCCACATCTTTATTCTGTTGTTTTCCCTTGTATCCAAATTACCACAAATTGTAACTCCAAGTCTGTGATCAGCTGTTTAAATCAAGAGAGACAGCAAAACCATAAGCTTTTAAAAAAGCTCAGATACCAGAGGGGAATGGATATTTTTGTTCTACACATGAATGCCACTCTACACTTGAGTTAAATCTCTCTTTCTGAGTTACTAAGGTTCCTCTAAAAAATAAACATCACACAGACTAACCATTCATCCATCCATGAGATAAACTCAAATTTCCAGCTCCACAGCTAAACAAATGCAAAATAAAGTGACTAAGAAAATAGTCACTGAAGAAGTATATTTGTAAATAAATTAAGCATAGTACATGAATGGTGTCTACAAATCTCTTTTGGAAAGGTCATAACTCCATAAGCACTGAAATCAGTGATACAGCCCAAGCTAATTTCCACAGGTCAGGATGAGAATCTTGAACCCCCTACTGACATCTCAGGCATTTAACCTGTGCTGGATCAGCCCCTCAGCAGACAGCAGGCAGATACTCTCTACAAGAAATCTACCAAGGATACAGAGAAAGAAACACTAAAAAGAAAATGTAGTCCCCAAAGTCCTTTACTATAAAGAGAGACACTATTTGTGGACGAATGAACCTCAGCATTTAGCTCCAATACAAGGCAGAGAACTGCAAGGGAGTACATATTTCCATCTGGGCACAACTCTAATTTTATATTAATAAACTGGCTCTTTTTTGTAAACAGAATCAATATCCTGTTTAAAAGCATTTCTCAGAAGAACAGGAAATTAGAAAATATTAATATTAAATTAATCAAACTTCATGAAATATGGTTCATGTTAATGAATGAATTTATTTTTTGTTTTTTTCAGTGTATATACACATGTACACTGAAAATGGTACCCTAAACATATGAGCTATGTGCTCATTTGAGATATGCAAAGCTACATATTTCCTTCTTATTAATTTTGATTTGATTTTGATTAATGAACACTGAGTGCAAATTCTACTTTCAGGGATTAGGAATTATAAATATGATATATTTTTTCAGGATGAATCATAAAGAGTAAGTTTCTTTTTCGTCTTTGGTATTTTTCAGCAATATTGGATATGCCTCTAAAACTAGAAGGGGCAGGGGGAAACTATGCAAGAAAGCTGAAATTTCCTAAAACATCTTATTTTATGACTAGCACACCAAATTCCCATTTCCCTGTCCCTGTCAGGAAATTTCAGAGACTCAAATGTCATCAGCTACATCATTAAAGGCATTCTAGTATATGGCTTGCATTTTTACATAGCTAAGGAATTGCTAAGTTCTCTACAATTTTTCTTTTCCAGAAGGGTTATAGCAGTTCCCAGTTTAGAAGAAATGTATCCAAGACAGAGAGAGAAGGCCCTGGGGAAAGAGCAATGAAAGCAGGGACAAGGAGGAAGGCCACAAGAGTGAAATGGGGTGAGGTTTGGGGGAACAAAATGTCCAAAAATATCAGAAATGTGGCTTGGCTTGTGAATCTGATGATTATTAAAAGCACTCAGAAATTATTTGGTCTGAATGTGGATATGAGGTATGGGGATAAGAGAGGAAAAGACAGATTTTGCAATCTTTCTCAAAATCTAAAATCATAAATCATCTTTAAGATTTAAAAAAAAAAAAAAAACTGCTGAAAAGAAATTAGTTTGTAAAGCAGGCTTACTGTGCAAGTCTAAATTCAACCATAGCATTCATTACCAAGCACACTTTAAAACACATCACACCCAGGGAAGATTGGTTACTTACTCCATCCAGGCTGTCTTTCTAGATCTCAAAACTTTGCTTCCTTGCTTCATCAAGCAATTTTAACTTTCAAACTGAAGAGTTGCAGGGGCTTTGACCTATGAAGTTACACTCGAGCAGAACATACCTGAAAATATCAAGTGCATAAACCAAAGACCATATTGACAATCACTTGCAAGATTGGTGTTTTATTTACTGAGCCTTTTTCCTTTTGTGTCTGCACATTCACAAACAGGAACTTTTTATGATGTCTACTGGGACCCCAGTGTGAGAGTTCACTGTGATGCCTTTGAAGCAGTAAGTAAACATTTTTAACTGTGTGTGTGCCAGATTAGCTGGGAACTTCCCATGTCCTGTCCTGCAGCTGAGTCACTGCTGACTGCCCCTGAGTGTGGATTCCACAGGCTGGTGAGTGGGAGAGAGATACAACAGTTCCCTGAATTACTCACTCATCCCAACACACATTTTGTCTTTTATCACAACGTACAGAATTCACTCAGGGGAATGGAAGTAAAGCTATTCACAGTCTTCAACATTTCTACCCTTCCACTAACATATTTCATCAACTTCCAAACATCCCCTTCTCTCTGTTATTCTTAAAATGTTCAGGTGTTCATACCACCAAAGCTGGAGATATACATCCTCAAAACTGGGCACATGAATCTCTGAGTTGTAGTTTGCAGCTCCTGACTTATACACACAAGTTAAAATGTCCACAAATAAAAACACAGTGACTCCAGATGCTCAACTGCACATATTTGCACATTTAGCAAAAGCAAAGGCAATTTGTACTAGAAAAGGGTAACACAAACTACACTCTGCTTTAAATATACTGCCAATGAAACCACAGATCATGGCCAGTGTTCTTTTCTATTGTGCTTTATCTCTCATTAGTGTTTTAAAATAAACACTAAATAGTAATTGCTTAATGTACCTTAAACATGTCTTTGGGAGGCTCTGTGGACAGCTGCAGAAAGTCACAAGTCTCACAATATACTCAATATACATTTGAAATATTAACTTCTGTTAAAATATCATTATTTTCTATTGTTACCTCTGTGAACAATAATTGCCAAAGGATATTTGTATAGAAAAATTCACTCTCCTGTGTCGCTGATTAAGGCTTCAATACAGCTCCTCAATCCATGCAATATAATGCCCACAGATACACTGTATTTTTTTCTACAGTCATAACCCACAGTAAAACCTCTAAATCTGTAGAGAATTTGCTGTTAAACACTAAAATTTCAGGATGCCTCCTTATTCTTATGCACTGAAGGAAGTAGAGGAATATAAATACAGTCAAATGTTTAACCAAAGTGTATTATTTTATACACAAATGCAGGGTCAACACAGTAGCACGTTTTACATATGAGACTATGTACAACACATAACCACACCTACTAGGCAGGGAAAACTGAATTTTCACATTTGGAACAAAAATCAAACTTGTCTTGCACACTCTAAGCTAAGAGCACTTTTACTGAAGCAGTTAAATGTTCTTGTTCCAGGTACAAGGTATGATCTCCCAGAGCAAGCCTTTCTATTAAAGAGGTTTCATTACAAAAAGTAGTGAGAAGTTACACAAAGTGACTATGAGTGCATTTAGGAATGATACTCAACCTGATTATTTGCTTTATTCTTTAAGTAAACAAATCATTACACCTCAAGTCTAATAAAGGCTCCTGCACATGCCTGGGAACTGCACAGCAGCAGCTCAGTAAGCCACAGCTGAGCTGCAGGAACTCTCTGGCCTGGCAGCCCCAGTGAGGGAAAGCCCAGCACAGCAGCTCTCCTTTCAGCTCACAATGCCTTTGCCAGACTTTACACATCCATGCCAGTCGTCTGTCTAGAAGGAGGAGAACAGCAGATAAATAGGGAAGAGAACTAAACCACATTTGGCAGGATATGACTTTTCAGTGGGAAGGGAAAGGAGAGAACTTGGGAGGTGCTATGCAAGGTGCCAGCAGAACTAGTATTTGGAGAAACATCCCATACATTATGTAGTACCACATGGCCCTAGATTATGTAATTCCATAACATTCTTTTCCACACTCCCTATTGCTCAGGACAGAAACATGTGCAGCTTGGTTTCGGAGGAAAAGGCTCTCATTGTCGAAGGTCACAAGCACATTTGAAATGGCAGGGAGTGGGCAGAGGAAGGCAAGCAAAAAGAAGCGAGCCTCATGGTAGGACAGCTGCATATTGCAGAGTGGATTTCATTCCCATCTCTAATTTACTTTCTCATGGTTGGAAAATCTTTTGACTCAAACATATCCCACAATTTCAGAGCTTCTGACTGGATACAATGTTTCTGAATACTGACCCACTGCACTGGAAGCTGTTCCCTGATCTTGGAGTGTATGGGCCACAAGGGGGTTGAAAAGAGGCAACTGAGTCCTAGGTGTCACAATTTAGGCCATCAGAATAAGTATAAACTGTCATTCATTTCCTTTGCTGTAAGTTTATTTCCTGTAAAATGGGAGTGGTACACACATCTCCCAGACTGTTTTGAAATAAAATGATAATCCAAGAACAAACATGCATGAAAGCCTCTGAAGGAATTAATCTACTTGTCTATGTGGTTGAGTGTGGTTGTGCATAGGCCAACTGAAAAATCAGAAAAAAAACCAAAATACCAAGTTGCCATCCATTTTAATGTACAAGGAGTCCATTCACAAATTTCACTATTGAAATGACAACCTTTCCAGCAAAGCTGACAACGTGCTTTCACCATTTTGCATAAAACACAGAAGGGATACCACTCATCATTAAACAAGACAAGGCTGACATATAAACCTACAATGAGCTTGAAAGCAGCAATCAAACCTTCAGGCTTTTGATGGGGGCATGCATATACTGAAATTCCCTTATTTTCTGAGCATGACAAAGAAGGCTGCAGAGTATTTTGCATCACAGATCTTCCCCAACATCACTACTTTTCTTAACAGAACCTATTTTACTATTGCTCTCACTCTGCTCCACGCAGAGTGAGACGTACAGATGAATTCTTGCTGCTAGAGAGAAGAAATTAACCATGAAGTAACACTAAAGCCTCCAAAAATACCTCGCTCCTTTTGAGCTCTAAGTACTTCAGAAAACACACACTCCTGCAGTCTTTGTATTATGGGTATTATCAGCATCTGCAAGAACAGCTTCCACTACTGCTGAAAAGAAGAGGAAGAAGCACAATGTGGAACAGAAAAAGTATGTGCACAGCTTATTATGTTAAAAAACAGCTGTGAATGCATGCATTCATGTGCAAGGATTACTGCAGCAAAGCCTACAACCACAGATAAAATTAAACTGATTTTTTTTCAGCCTCCATAGTCCTCATGTAATATAAGATTTTTACTTTCCCTTTCTGATGTGCCCTAAAGCTTCCTGCATTCCCATCCCATGGTCTTCAGCAGTGCTTAGAATGAACCCAAAGCCTCTTGTTCCAGTCAGCTGCACTTCATCAGATCTACTGGGAAGAACCAATACTCAAACAAACCTACTGGAGACACTCTGAGCTGTTTGCAGAATTTACAAGATCACAAATGCACTTCATTGTATGCATTTCACTTATTTCACTCTTTATGCTTTAATTCAGAATTTGAGGGGTGGGGCACATGAGAATGAAATTGCAGAAGCTCATTGATTTGGTAGCCACTGTACTTTGTCATAATATTTTTAGACAAGGAAAGCAAAAAGCCAAGAATATAATATTTTTTAAAAAATTCTAAACTCATGTCTCATTTCTTATTGATCTGAAGGAAACAATACCAGATTTTTACTAGTTTGTATCATCTGCCAAAAACAACATTAATCTATCCAAGCACACCCACACTCAATATCCTTTTACAGGTGTCAGTGAACACAGCAGGAAGTTGAGATCTCATCAATTTCTCAAATTTGGTTTCTCAGTTTTAAAACCAACACATGATCCCAGCTAAGACTTTTGTCATTTTCAAAGCCTGAATGAAGCATGAATCTAAAAGGCAGTACTTGGATTGGCTATTCCTTCTCTCAAACTTCTCAAATAATACATTTTCTCCTTGTATTTTTTTAATGTAGATATTTGCAAATCATTTAGATTACCATGGCTGCAAGGAAGATAGACATAAATATTCATGGCATCAAATACTGTAAGGAAAATTATTTGGAACAAGATCCCCAAGTTCTAAATTATATACCATGATCTAGTAAAATGTATGGAGCTGTCATAATTTACATCCATGGAGAATCTTGCTCATTTCATACATCTACTAAAATATTTTGTCCCTTGGTCATGATACAAACATCAAATTTAAGATGTTTTCATTTTTCAGGTCCTCTAGTGAGCACTACGCTATGGAAGGCAGTGAACTGTACAAAAAAACCCTACATCCAGATGAAATAGTGTCACTAATTTTAAAACATGCAGCTGATTTTTATCACGTTTCAGTAACGCTTCTAATCTCCCATCATAAAATATAAACCAGCTCTCTGAAAGGCTAAATAGCCAACTTCAGCTGCTATGATCTGCACAAAGACTCTGCTTTAGTAAAAGATATTTGCTTCCATAATTTTTTATACATCAGTTTCTGCTATACTAGATAATCATTTATCCAAGTTTTAATTTCCAAGCTCTGTGCTGTTGACATTATACAGTATTTTCAAAACATAAAAATCAAGAACAAAAACATGACACCAAAGAGGGTGGTAAAGAGATCTAAGAAAATATTCTATTTTTTAACCTGCCCTAAGTGGTTTTTATGTTGTGTGTACTGAACTCCTGCAATGCCAGGAGTTCATATTAATTATTTATCTTATTATTCTCTTAATAAGAATGGTCATAACAGACTGGCTGCTGGTTCATCTTCTGACATGATCAAGAACTAAAAGAAGTACACACTGTCCACCCACAGGAGATGCCACATAAAGGAACGGTTTTCATTTATTGCATTTATTTAATTTATTTATTTCATTCATTTATTTTAATCATTTCAAGACATTGATCCTAACCTTTAAAGATGGAACAGGTTTGAGCTGCAGACACACATAAAAGTGTCCCAGTGCTGACAGGGACAGCTGACAGTTGTCCAACAACTGCTGCTCCAGAGCAGAGGCGAACGATAGCTTCACTGAAGGGAGACCCAACACTCATTCATAGACAGGTTTCCTCCAAAACTCTGGTGGCAGAGCTGGAAAAAAGAAATAAGAGTTCATAGTTTGTTATAATTTCTTTTCTTTTCTGTTAAAACAATGCCACAGGTTCTTAATCAATGCCTCATTCATGCTTAATGGCACCAGATTGGCAATACTGTAAAACACAACTTCTGCCATCAGCTCTTCCCTGCTTTACTTTACTACAGATCCTCAGTGGCCTTGATCAAGAGATGAGAGGAAAGGAAGATGGGGCTAGTAATTCGTAAAGAAATGTCATTCACCTAATGGGAAAAAAAGAAAATGAAGAGGAATATATTCTTAACATCTTCTTGCAACCATGAAGAAGGATCTCTGCCAATCCTTTAACTGACAGTAGGTTCAAGTAAGAACATATCATAGCAAGACTTCCTTCTGTATTCCAATAAACTAATATACTGTACAGGAAAGGATAGGAGAGAATGGGAAATTAACATGGAGAGCTTTCCACACCAAATGAGTACCCAAGGGGTTTGCAGGTACCTATCTCTTTCACCAGACTCTTCCTTTAGCCCTGCAGAGAAGAATTTGGGGTCTGGACAAATACTCACCTTGTGAAGACTGCATTGGTGGAAGAGGTTTATCCCCAGATGTTCAGCAGCAGCAGCTGCAGAGGTTTCTGCCCCTTCAGTGTAGCTCCCAGCTGTCCTCTCGAACCAGTACCAAAACCATTTCAGCCAAAACAAAGTAGATTAGCACAGATCTGCCTCTTAATACTGTTAGAAAAATGCCAATGAAAGCTGGCAATACATCCCCTGCCCTTCCCCCCTCCAATCCACTCATCCTCTCCCTCATGCAAGCAACAGCACTTAAGTGACCCCTTCAGGCATCACAGGATGCTAAATAGACAAATAATGATTTTTTTATTGAACAGGAGAAAAAACAGAAGAAGGGGGAAAGTAGGAAAGCCTTCTTCAGTTGCCAGCTTCATGTCTCCTGAATTAAAGCAACCAGCAAGCCACAGCTTAATCTTCACTACACAAATGGGAGTAAGAAGGTTAATTTACTTCACTTAATGAGAAATATAATGTTTCCTCTTTAGCAGATAAAACACAGAATGTGCCAGAAAAAAGTAAACTAAGTAAACTGCAAGACAGGTGTAAACTATCCTAGGTCTTCCTCTTCTTTAAGATCAAGATCTTCTATCCTTCTCATGACAAGAAAATATTCTACTGTTCACCATTTAGAAAGACTATTCAGATTGGTTTACTTTAAATTTTTCAAACCTGAAACACCAGAATGAATAATTACAAGTACTCGCCCTTTCTATTACTTTAGGGCCCTCTAGGGCAAGCTGTTTAATTCTTGCCTTTGAGGCTAAACACTATTTTTCCTTCTTGAGAAGCACTTCAGAAAATGGCATGGGTTTGATCAAGAAAGATTTGAAATACAGAATAAAAAGAATCCTCCATTATGGGCAGATGCTAGGAATCTCTTCCCTCCACCTCTTTTTTCTGTCTTTGAGGAAGACAAATTGCTAAAAGTTTAGACATATAAAAACTAACAGCAGCATCAATTTTGAAGCAATGTGTATTTCAGCAGACAGTACATCAGTCAGTTTGGTTTATAGAACCTGAGAAATGATGTTTTAACTTTTACTGTTGCTTATGTCAGAGTAGAAAAGATGTAGTTTCTCTGCTTTGGAGTACAACAGATAATACTGTCATATTCAAAATTATACTTATTGCTTATGCACATAACTACAGCATTTTTCCTGCATTTAATTTTATGTCTGTGTTCAAGTGTTTGCTTGGTTAAAAGAAAAATAAATAAAGGGTAGAAAAAACAGTGCATGTGTGTTCTACATATAAGTGCAGTTTTTTGATGTGCAGTGTCTAATTTGGAGGAAAAAAAATAAACCAAAAAACCAAAAAGAACTGTTGTGTATTTTAGGGAAGGTAATTCAAAAGCCCTATAATATTAACCTAAAAGCTAATTATACCTTAGCTATGACAAGTGCATTTCTGCAACACAATGGTAATAAGCTGAGACCAAAACTTTCTGAACTCTTCAGTTTCTCCTGCCCATTGCACAGATAACCCTCACCAAGTGGTATTGGTCTTTTTTTCACATAACTAATATGTTTTAATGCATTCTGGATAAATCTTGCAGTGACAAATTTAGCCTATTCACTAAACTGCCCAGCACAGGACGCTCCAATATGAGCTTTTCTTGCAGAAGGTAAGGCCAGAGCAACCATGTTTGTAACCCACGGCAAAAACAAAACATGTTGGACATGACACTGATGTGAACCAAGAAGATATGTCTGATCCCTTCCACGCTGGAATGGCAGGTGGAGGTGAACCCTCCATACAGCCCATCCCTGTCATCCCTCACACAGATGAGATGATTTAAAGTAGCAAATAAAGCATTATGTGAGGTCTGTCATGCAGTGGATTTTACCTCCCTCCATACCTGGAGTCCAAGCTCTTCTCATTCCATCACAAACATTAATCTTTCCTCCTGACAAATATACCCAGAACAGCTTAACTCTACATCCTAACTCCTAGTATTCCATTCCAGAAACGTCAGGTCATTCTCCTTCCTTGAAAGCTGGCTAGCTAAAATGTTTTAAGTGCCAGCATATTAGTATTAAGCCAGGAATGCATTATTCAGCCAGTCAAACAATACCTCAAAAGAGCAAGTACAAGTAGCACTGCAGCAGGATCAATAACATCCAGAGGACAAGAGCAGAACACATCCCTGAGGGTCAGTCTGCTTGAGTCACTGACAATAGCAAAGACTACATACAACAGGTATCTCTGGCAGTTGAGGCACTTCACAAATATTGTATCCTGGAAAAATATAGTCTTTAGCCGTGATAGAAGTAGCCCCTTTAAGCAACACTCTCTCCCCCAAAAAATCACTACCATAGACAGTATTTATAATTACTGATCTATTCCATGTGTTTGAAAAACGACAATAAATCATCATCATTTCACACACTTCTTTATTCCTCTGCCTAGTCTGTATAATTGTAAGCTCTTCAGGGCAGAAGCTAGGGGCATTTTAATACTGCAGTGAAGAGTACTAAACCAAATACGGCTTTAAGCTATATTATTTTATTGTCAAAACAATAAAGGTCTACTTCATCCAAATATTGCCTGCTTGGTCAAACAAAAGTGCCATCCAGAATCCTCCCCTTTTCCATTTGTTTGTTGTAAGACTGGTAAACCTCTCACTGGGTTCATCACTAAAACATGTATTTGACTCAAAAAGGACCCCTAATAAGACTTCCTCACGATGCTACTCTTTCCTCACTGCTATGACTTTTGGCTGCTTACTCTTCCTTGTTTTGCTGACTCCTCCTAGTTTCCTCCTGTGTGTGTGTGTGCATGCTTACGTGCGCGTGTGCGCATTTCCTCCTCCACTCCCGAGTTCTTCAAAGCAAGTACAGTGCTCCTAACCAACACACAGAGGCAGTAAGGGAAACAAGGAAGCCACTCAGTGTAGCTGTGAAGAGATAACAGTTCAGTGGCTCAATCAGCATCAGCACTCCCGGGCACAGGCCCCCACCAGCAGTGCCTTGTGCTGTGGTTCTACAGAAAGGTCCCTTCCCCCACTGCAAGAAACCCCTCCCTGACCTCCAGCTGCCAGATGGAAGTGACAGCCAAGAGTCAGCGCTGTTCAGAACATTTTGTTACCAACATTCGTGTATTGATCCCTAAAGCACAGAACTGCAGCTCAACCTCAGCTTTCCCACCACAAGCTGGTTTAGGTCCAGGGGCAAACAAAATGTTGAAGCCTCATAACTGAGACCCCCCTGCACAAAATTGCCTCTTTACTCCTGAGTTTGTATTTTCCATTTACCAATGGATAACCCTGCCCAGGAGCTTTTTCCACTGTTGTGAGTGTCAGGTCAGAGAGAAGGGAAGATGAAAGATGATAAGGTGGCACAACATTTCATTGCTTTAGCTTTTCCAGCCCCCTTATTATTGCTAGAACATTATTATCTCTTTTCATATCCTGGATGGTCCTGACCTTAAATTTTAACACCACAACTCTCTATGTTACTGTCCCAAAGAAGAGAAACAATAGACACCAGCAGAAAAGAGCCTGACCTAAGTGGTGCAAAGGAGAAAAAAGCACTGAAAGCCCCTGTATCCTCACTGTGATCTGCATTTCCTGCTTCTCCAGGATTATGGGCTATATTTTTTGTTGGCATGAACCAACACAGGCTGCATCTGAATACACAGGGTTGACATCACAAACCTTGTAAACACACAAATATCTAGAAGGAATTTGCATCCTTCAACACCGTGCCAGCACCACCATCGCCCCAGACACACTGAGTAAGCACTGCCCCAAATCCTTCAACTAAATCTAACAAGGTACAAGAAAAAGCTGTAGAAGAGGTCTCTAACTTGACAGAAATAGGTTGCAGGGCTGGAAGATGGCCACCTGTCCACAAACTATTGGAAACCACAGACAGACATCTTTGCCAGATTCAGCTGAAGTCTACACCCATCTCTACCTTCTCACCAATATCCACCAGGACTGTGCCCTCCAACAAAGGTGAATTAACACCTTTAGGGAGAGTTTCACAGTGAATGTTCACATAGTTTCTGCTGCAGTACAGAAACCTCTGGCAAAGATAAGTTTCTGGGGTCAGCAAACTGTCTCTGTAGCTCAGAAAAATGAGCTTCATTTTATGGCCCAGAAGCCTCTGAAGTAGAGTAAATGATATAAAGGCAGAAACAGCCGCAGTGTGGATCTAGGAATTACACAACTGCTTATGTGACCATGGAGAGCACACAAAGAGGCAATGCGAAGTAGAGGTGGAGGTAAGAAACAATCTCACCTCAGTGGATCTGTCCCTGTGGAAGAAGCCTTTTGGATTTAGTGACATTCTACCTGTACTTCGCACAGGTACAAAGCAAGTGGTGCTGGAGCCACAATTCAGGGCAAAGAATGGCACCTTCCTGAAACTGCTTTGTCACAAAAGCATCTCCTGTATCCCAAAACATGTCTAAAGTACCTAAATCAGCAATTGTTCTCCTGATTGAACAGCTTACACAAGAAAGGGTATTTTCAGAACAGTTTTAGGTATCGATGTGGGCTAACCACTGTCAGTAAGGGAAATCATAAAAACCTTGAAGGATGATACAGACTTTACAGGTGTCAAATATCCACTTGTCTTCAAGAGGCAACAACGGCTACAGCCGTGAATGCTGAGAAGCCTCTGCTGTCATAAATGTTGTGTTATTTTAATACAATCTTTCTTTTATTTTCACACAGAATCCAGCCTCTTTCCTGCACTGGTAATTTTATGCCCTCCAGAATGTGGTACTGTAAGAAACACTCAACACTGTGGTGAGTTCCGGAGAACTGATGATGACATGATATTGTCAGCACCAGTTTTAATATCCATTGAGCTGGGACACTGCACAGACATGGGGATTTTCCTCATAGAGATACAGAAATAAAAGGCCTCTGTTCCTGTAACAAGATCAATATATGCATTAAAGGGCATTCAAAGCAAAAGTAAACTGTATTTCAGAAAAGCCTATGTAAATGGAAAATAAGGTACATTGTTTTAAGTATTAGGCAGCCTTTTTTGTGATATGACAGAGAATGCTGGTGTGTCTGAGCTCCTCTGACTCACATCTTTTGTAATATATTCCATATAGGAAAGTCACTGTCTCCCAGTCCCATGTCTTTGACATGAATTCACAGGAATCTGATGACACAGAGAAGTCTGCAGTTGGTTTTGGTGGTAAACTCACTCCCCGAATATCCACATGCAATGCTCCATGCACATGCTCCTCAATAGTGTGCAGAGTGACCCTGCCCCAAGGAGATTCTAAAAGCTGCATGGCAGAGTGGTCATGGAGAGTGAAGGAAGACAGGAAATGTGATTCCTGCCAGCATTCAATACTGCACCAGGTGGAACCACTCACTTCAGCAGCTTATAGATGCACCCTAGTTAAATTTATAATATTTAAGTGTGCAGGGCTTTCTGTTTTTATCTTTTTAAGACTAGAAAATAAGGTTATTCTCGACATCTCAGGTATCTTGTAGATGCTTCTGTGGGATTCGCACTACCAATTAAATTTCCCAAGTAATGAGGTATAATTCCCCCTGAGAAAGCCTGCTTCATCTGTGATCTATTCCCCACGGAAATGTGGAAATTTCATAGCCAAGGCTCAGATTCATGAGATTTTGGTGGTTTTTTTCAGTATTCTCTGAGAAGCAACAGGAATAAAAATTTTACATGAGAACCCTTCTACTGTTTTCCTCTTTGGGACAAACACCATGTAATCATTGAAAACTGTTTCAACAGTAAGAAAGGTAACAATATTTTATAATTGGTGCCCATATAAAACTATGTGTATTAAAAAGTTCAGCCAATCTCTGCAGAAAACAAAGAAGATAAATGACTGCTGTGAATTAGTTTAGGGCTGCTCCTATAAGACAGCTCAGTTTCTCTCATATAATAGGTAGTGAAATTAAAAATTTACTCTTGGCTTTTATTCACAGCCACTGTAATAAAACACCCGAACAATTTGGCAGCAATATAAATGGTTTCCCATCAACATGAATAGTGTCAGTGTGTGGACCTCTATCTATTTTTACTTGAGCTCAAGTAAATCAGAAGTTAACCACCTCAATGTGAATTACAGTGATAAAAGTCTAAGAAGGAAGAAATCAGACCTGGACACTGATTCTGCATGGCCTTTGCTAATGAAACCAGCTCTGTAATTGTTTATACCCTCACTGGATGCTCTCATAATCATTTGGATACAACAAACAGCTCTTGCAGGTGGCTGGCTGCTAAAGAGGAGGATAAAAAAGAGGTGTATAATGGCCACACTAAAAGGCTTTGATAACAACACATCAACTTCATAAACTTGTGTCCTGCAGTACCACAAGTGAACATTCAGCTGACCACAAGAAACAAAGGAGAATGTGGATGACTTCATCAGCCATTAAGTCTGTTGTGCCCTGATCTAACAGCATGATTCAAAATTAAAATCAAGGAAATTTGTCAACAAGCATTTCCTCAGCTCAGAAGAATCCTCGATTGTTGTGGCTTTTCCTCTGCACCCATTTGGGAGTGTCACACAGACAATGAATGGGGAGGACTGGGAGCAGTCCGTTGCTGTATTTTACCAATTCCAAATCAATAAACCCAGTCACTGAGGCAAAGGCTGAGCCTGTATCGGGTTTAATTTACTCTGGGGACTGGAACAAATACACACCAGCATACTCCAGCAGTTCCATCTCTTCCTCCTGCATCAAGACCTTCCAGACTTGCTCAAACACAGCGGAGCAGCCTCTGTGAATCTAAGTCACAGCAGTCCTGAGAAGTGAAATCCAGAGTGGCTTTCTGTGGCTGTGGAAAGATGTTCTTCAGCAATGGGAGTTACATAGAGAACCAAGAACAGATTAGATGAATATTCATTATTCAAAGTAGGATTAAGAAGTAAATGATGGTTTGAGGATGTAAATTATGGGGGAGAATGACACAATCCCATACCATTTAAAGAGTGCCTTCTCAAACTGCCCCCGTACTTTCACACCCACACTTTTTCCCTTCCCATAAATGTTAAAGAGCTGGGGAAGAGGCCTCATGCACAAAAACTGCATATGGATACCTACCCATTTTTCCATATATTTGTGAAAAAAATCTGAGCTTTGGAATATGCAGGGGAAAAAATGGCATACAGGACAAATTACTTCAAGGTATACGAGTATTTCCAACTCATACACAGAGCAACATACTATTTTTCTGATCTAGAACCTTCTCATATAAATAGGAGCCAGTTTTCAATACCCGTATTTCATACACATCTTAACTAACTTCACATTTTGCTTTATCAATTAATTCAACCATTTTTCAGCAATTAATCTGTTGAAGTGTTATGTTTAAAAACTTCTGATTTTGATCTGATGAACTGCAACATAAACTAAGATCTTTATTCTAGTTTCATCCTTTAGAAATCTACTTTTTGGCAGGTGTTCAAAGCAGCAAGTGTTTCTATAAACTGCAAATGCAAATATGTCTCACAGAATGCATTGAAAACAGAGGATTGAGGAGACATTTTAGAAAACACAACTGAACAAAGGGGTGACCTGGATTACAGAGGTATTTTTTTTTATACACCAGTATTTTTCATGCATCAGTATTTGTTTCTGACCAGAACTCCATTCTTTCAGAGTGCTCTGCTGAGTAGTGTAACAGGGAATTCTCTTTATACTCCAATTTTTCCGGCTTTTAAGGATCTCAGTCTCAGAAAAATTAAGGATTAAAAAAAAAAATCAACAGAGGAGAGAAGAAAGAAACCGTATTAACACATGGGAAGTAACTCCAAGCAGTCTACCCATAGCTGGTAATCCCCACTCTATAGACATGGGTAAAGCAAAGGAATGGAGTTAAAATGCCTAAACTCACAGCCCAGTGAGTTAATAGCACAGTCAGGCACAGAACCCTAACTCTCACTTTTCACCTGAGCACCAAGCTACAGCTCTTAGAAATGGGAAAAAATCTTCACAAAAAGCCTATTCCTATAAAGGGAGTATAGGAGAGAACAGTCACATTGAGGTAAATACTTGTTTGTGGAGATCAGTGCTTGTCTCACCAATACCCCAGGGACCAACTTGTCTGCACCCATAATTAGGGCAAGCCCCTCTGTAACTGCATGAGGTCATGTTTTTCTTTCAAGCAGCAGTAAATTACCATGCTTGTTATCACTCCTTTCTCTACACAGATTCTCTCAAAAATTAGATTATCTCTAGGGCATCCTTTGCTATTTTGTCACTTGCAGTATAACTCTCAGTATAGTAGGAAAGAAGGCTGAAAAAAATCAGCATTTAGAGTTTGAGAAACAAAGATATTAAGGCATTAAGGGGGGGAAAAGAGTGAAAGAAGCAGATCATCCCGGAACTGCCAATTTTCTGTATCCTTTGAGGATTAGATCCAAGCTTATAATTTCTGTGAGCAATTATCTAAATAGAAATGCTCTAATTGCACTAGGACTGTGTTTTCTCTGGAGTGTTATTTCTTTCAAGTATCCTGCTGTTTATTTATATTCAGCTAAATAAAAGGTGTGCTGAGTTACCCAGTGATTTACACTGCAGTAGGGACATTACCAGTGGTACACAGGAGACTGCTGGCGTAGCACAGAAAGCCCTCTAGGCTGTTCTAACTTACTAGAACTAAGCCCATTCCAGTCTCTGTCTTCTAAACTCATGGTTTAATAAAGAAAACAAAGCAATACTTCCTGGATGATTGCCAATGAGCTGCTTTGTTGCCTCTGGAATCACTGCCAGCTCAGAGAAAAGTAGGGAGAAAATTAGGTACGATGAACAACTACCCAAGGAAAACAGCTTACCCAGCTTGGTGTCCCACAAGTCTGGAAGTGTGTTAGGGGAGGGCCTGGCACAGAGGCAAAACACAGCCACACACACTGTGCCCTCAGCAGCGACAGAAGCTTACACTGATCATCGTCATGTGCCCTCATGGATGGTCTAATCAGTATTACATCACTGCCAGAAGCAACAGCACCAAGACAAACAGCCAGGACAAAAGACCCAACACTCTATTAGAGTTTCATTCCTAGAAAAGGGAGGTTACACAGGTTGGCCTCCACCGTTATGCACCACATGCACAATTGCTCAGGAAAAGTTCTGTCTGTCTTAAAGGTTAATAAACCTGTAAAATGTGCACACATTGGAGGGGAAGGCAAAAACTCTCCTTCACAGGGAATTGTGGTGCTGTCCAAAAAGGGGTCCCAGTCCTCCTCCTCCAGAATCACAGCAAAACATCAGAAGAAAAAGCAGTGAGGGGAACCTCACAGTTCACTGCTTTCAACTTGGAAACCAAACTGGATCACATTACCCTACATATCTTCAGTGACAACATCAGGAGTGAGGTATACAATCCTAAAGGGTCAGGCAAGAGAGAAAGCTTTATGCTACACATATTCATATCAAACACTACTTACTATCCTAATTTGTGTTTATGTTTATACACAGAAGTGGAGAAACAAAAAGAAAGCAGAAAGGGCCAAAACTGAGTTTAGAAAATTCAGGAGATTGCATGAAAAGTATAGTTTCAGGGGCATTGAGTATCAAGTTGGGAATAATTCCCCAGAAATGTCACTGCTTTTTCAAAATTCCAGTCAAGAATAACTGCCTTATGTTAACAGGAAAGAAACAACAAACAGCACATTCCTTCGTTGCTTAATGTGCCATCCTTAATGGACAACTCAACAGAAGGAGTAAGTGAAGAGGATTTCTACCTGTTTTCATTCTATTTCTGTGTAGAATAAATTAATTTTAACCATTTGCAAGCACGACAACTTTTAGAAGCACGGCTCTGTTCTCATTTCAAACCAAAAAACATGACAAATGGGAGTTTGTATAAAAGCCTAATTTTTGTACCAAATTTTACCATGCAAAACATGCACAGAGCACTTGTTGATGAGCCACAGGCATCTGTGAAACAGGTCCCAAGAATAAAACACAAAAATATGTTAACTAGCAACTAAACCCATAACAGCAAATACATTCCAATACCTGTCAGGGACTGAAAAACATACATTTCAGAAATACACCTACTTAAAGTTAATTTTCTGTGTTGCCATGAACATTACCATCGGCAAAACAATATCTCCTTGCCTGTCCTTTAACAATGAGGAAGATGACTGTGAGTAAAATAAACATGATAATTTCTTGTCCAAAGCTGTCACTCAGATTGATGGAACAACTCAGTTTTTCCACAGCTGAATTAAAGGAGAGACATACCTAATAATTTTATTGCTTTTCTCTGTTTCTCCAACTAAAGTGAGAACCTTCAGAGGCTGGGACATCCAACACCAGAACAGACAAGTCCTACTTACGCATATACAAAACATGAATTAATGTTAAAAAAGGGTCTGCTGAACAGACCAGATTCAGAATTATTCTTGAGGGAAAAAGTTCTATTTTAACGGACTGGAAGTTTTTCTAGTTTAGTGGGTTTCTACCCTTTAAGTCCATAGTACTTAGCCTTTGTCACAAGAGGGATACATAAGTCTTTGCTTCCTTCTTGTTCAGATCATACTCTGCTTTGTCTTCCACAAAATAAAATTTTTACCACCTAGTTTGAAAAATGTGATTACACAATTGCTCTTGCCAAATTCCAGCAATCATTCAAATTTCCAGAAAAACAGGTATTGGGGAATACCAAATTTAGAACTGAAAACCTGGAGAATGCACAGTAAACCAGTACTTTAAATTAATTGGTAGCAAACCGACCATAAAATCCTATCAACATTTTTCTTCATTTATTCTTTATAGAATAGCATTGAATAAAAATTAGAAGTTTTCCATCTAGGATGGGAAATAATTTTTGAGATTCCTCATTATTAGACAAAATAAGAAGAATCATTTTCTCTGCAATTAATTTGGTATTAATTTTTACTAAACCATTCAAGGAAGAGGCAGTAACTCAAAGGCTCTCTGTATCCGAGATACTTAATGAAAAACCTTTGGATTCTGAAGGCACAGTTTGTATCTCAAGCTTAAATCCTACGTTATCTCTGCTTCATTATCTCCATCTCAGTGGAAGATAGTTCCATACTGTTTTCCATGTCATTACTGTGTGCAGTAGCATTGTATTTCTATTTATTATGAGTGCAGTACTCTCTCATCACACATCCTCTTCTGGCTGCTTCAATGCTGCCTGCCTAAATATATTCTTTGAACTGTGCTCCCAATTTCCTGTGAATAAGACTCTCTTATATGAAGATGGCCCCTATGATAGCCTTCTCTTTCTCATACATATTCAAATATCAAATGGAATCTGTATTTCTCCTATATCTTAGAAAATTTTTGCATATTAATAAAAAAATAAATAAATAAAAATCAAGATGCTTAAGGAAAAACTGAAGCAGTGTTCCAGTCATAATTCTCACACATACCAGAAAAAGAGGATAAGCTGCCTTCCTGGTGGAATTTCACCTGGAGTTTTATTTAATAATCCTGGTTGATGCAACCCAACAGACTGGTCCCTTTTCCCAGGGAACAAACCCAATTTGATCTGTTAATATCCAAGAAACAGACAGATTTTAATGGTTGTATCACTGTAAGAAATCATTCATCATCTACTTTCCTAAATACTCTCTCTGCTTATGGAGAATATTTTCAATCCCATTCAGTGCACTGGTCACCTTAAAGAATCAAAGATCCAGGGATGTAAACTGTTTTCACACACTTTTTACTTCTCAGGACCTTTCATCCAGAGCAGGCAGAGCACAGGTGTACAACGGCAATCAGTGGTCACATTCTATGTTCTAGAGCAATAGTAGCTTTTCAGTTATTTAAGAGAAAATATTTAAAATCATCACTGTCTCCATGAACTGTTCTAATATAAATGGAGGGAATTACCATGGTGTCTACGAATGACAAGTTTTCCATACTACTTTTCTCCCATCTTAAACCAGTCTCTAAGTTAAGATGTTTAATTGTATATGTGGATGTAGATATACTAAGGTGTCATTTCAGGCACCAGAAACATAGAAAGCATGAGCTTTGAAAATGTTACCAGTTTGAAACTGTTTAAAAGTTTATGAAAACAAATGACAAAAAGTGATACTGAAATTAAATACACAGAAATAATTACATGGCTAAAATAAATGTATGTTCTATGTACTACAAAGCCAAGGGTACAGGATCAAACGAGTTGGTATTAAACAAGGGGGTGGGGGGTTGGAAAAAAAATACTTCAGGAAAACAGAACAACGGCATAATTTAACGTATTTGTACTTGGGTCAGATCCAGCTGATTACTTTGGAAAGGATTCTTCTCAAAGTGAAAGGTGAATGGAGGAAGGGAGTTCAGGAAAGAGGCTGGTGTTCGTCCTTAAAGTAAATTATCTGGAGTATGCAATGAGCAGTGAATGTATTACATTGCAGTAAACACCCCAAATACTTCAAAAATACTACAGCAGTGTCTTCATCGCTTTGATTATTATTAGGTAGAAGGCAAACAAATGTTTCTTTGTGGAAAAGAACTTGGAGCTCTGCCAGGAATGGTCATGTCTAACACATTATTTATGACTGTATAAAGTGCAAGAATATTAGTCACTTAATGAAAAGCTGGAGGGTGTCTGTTGCAAGACATGAAATGATCATAACTTGTTAAAGGCAAAGAAGGTTAAAAATGGGAATCTCTTCACTCAGGAAGCTGCTGTGAGTCTCCACCTCATGTCTACAGAAATGTAGTTTCAAGCTTCTGATAAAACAGCTGTCCCAGGCATCACTGCTGACCTTTGTAAATTTAAGAGACAACACTGTCTTCTCCAAATTTCTACACACCCCCACTGATATCTTTGACATCACAAATTAACCATCTCTCTCTAAAACTCAGATTGGTACAGTTTATACTGTGGGCTTCCTCCTTGCCCTTTTTTTTTACAGCTCCATTCAGTGGTCTGTTCTTCCTCTTCCTTCTCCCTTCACACCCTGTGGACACTTTGCAAGGGGTTCTTGTCACTCCACCCCTTTTTCACACTGTCTATTTTTACCCTTCTGTTGACCTCATTCACTCATATGGTCTCTCCTCAAACAGGGCCCAACAACACTTAAATATTCCTCTTTTGCACATCTGTACCCTGCTACCTTTCTCTTGGCTCGCAGATACTGCAATGCTAAATATAACAATAGAATTACACATTTATCCCACCTAACCTCATTCCAACCATCACCTTCCTCTCCAAAAAGAATCTTTTACCCAACTACAGATGAAGGTTTTGAGACAGAGCAGTCATAAGACAGATATTTTTCCTTTATTTATACCTCACTTATTTCCACTTTATATTGTTTATTCTGCATATTAAAGAAGGAGAAAAAAAGAGCTGTCTGAGAAGGAGGAACTCTCTTTGGATTTATATTCAAACAAGGAGATGAAACAGGACAAGAAGAAACAATAGCTTTTTGTTGTTGTTGTTCAGAAGATAACTGAAATTTTGTGAAATGCAGAGCTCTTTGTACCTGGAATCTAATTACATAAAGTGTTCTGTACCTCTGCCACTGAATGCTGTGGGTTACAGGGTTTGTGGCTCAGGGGTTTTAAATTGTGCTTTTATATTATTTTGGCTCTTTTAAAGCAGCTCCCCATTTTCCTAAAGAATGGCTGTTTCCAGCCATCAGACTTTGCTACCTCTGCTAAAACAACGTGACCATGCCTGGATAAGTACTTACTCAATCTATTTATTCAGCTTCCAACACAGCTCAGCACCATGTATCATACACATCGTGCAAAAATTTCACTCAAGCATAATCATGGTTCTTAAAACTCAAACTTTGCCACACAATGACAAGGTCTCCACATTACCAGAATTACTTTCCCTCCTCCTCCGCCCCCATCCAACTTCTCATCAGTCTCTAGCATGACTCAACCCCGTTGAAAAGCTGTAGGTTTACAAGTCATTTCATTTCTTTCAAGTGAGATACATCATATGGAGGAAATAAATAAAATGTTTTCAGTGCCTAGTCCCCAGTGGATAATAGGGTCTATCCAGTTTCATAAGTTGCTTCTAACTGGAAATTTTTCTACATTAGTTTTGGCTTAACTAGAATGAAATCCCCATTTTGAAGGCTACTCTCTGATGGCAGCAGAACCTCGCCCAGTAGCACATCAACATCTCCTTCTTGCTCTTCAAACTGACGAACATATTTTGGAACTATTCCTGTTACAATTCCCGCGCTATCCCCAAGACTGCGGGCAGGGTAAAAACTGCCTTCAGACAAACGCATTTTTCCTAGGGTCCTATGTTGGGAGCCATCTTTTACTTGCTAAACTCCAGACTTCAGTTTTCAACACAATTTTAACCATTTCACTTCCAGATCCTAGGTAGTTTATTGGCTACCCAGGAGATGTCTGTGTATGTGTTCTTCTTTGTCTCGCTCTCACTGGCCTGTGTTAAAATTTAAACAAAACAAAAGGGATGGTGGGGGAGAGAGAAGAAAATTACTGTCATGAATCATCCTAAGGAAAATGAAGTTAAAGTATCATGTTTTCAGTAGTCATGAGGGATTAAAACCAGAAGCAAACATTTATCTGGATCAACTCATATACCATTATGACTGCAGATGCTTCCCTCCCTACCAAGATTTTCATGGTGCTAAAATTTTTGAGGATGAATTATGTGAAGTTTTGAGTATCCCCTGCTAGCTGCTACCTGCCCTTACTTCTAGTCAAATTACTTGAACTGATCACTGTCACCACTGGGCAGAATTAAAAGCCCCATTGAAAAAGCATCCCCAAACCTACAAAAATAATTGCAGAAGAATCAAAAGGGGCAGACATGAAAAAAGAGCAATGAGGGCAAACAGAGACAAGATGGTTCATTGAATTGTAAGGGGCCAGGTAGTAGTTGAAATTTCAGTATTATAAATAGGACATTATGTAGCTGAACTAAAAATAGGAGTTTTATTTTTACTTGATGTTCCTCGCTGCTGTGAAAAGAATGTAATAAAATAATTTCTGCAGAAAACAAACTGCAATTACAAATTCCCTGTCTGCATACTCACTTGTAAGAGAAAATGGCTGGTGTATGTACTCTGATTCCTTCACACACTATGTATGTGTACAACTGCTCTCTATGCTGGAAGCACTCTCTGCTCTGCAGTAATAACACTATCATTCCAGTACTCGGTTTCAAGTCAAGATTGAGGGGTCCAGCACAGGTCTGGAGGAAAATGCTCTGTCAACTTGCCACCTGCCAACTGTCTCAGGGCAGCATCTTGTGTTCTTCCCTTTCCTAAAGGCAAATTTTACACTTAAACTGAGAATCCAAATTTAGCTATGGTAAAATGGCAGCTTTTCTGGCCAGCTGCTGAGGTGGTTGTTCATACTCTGTTTCATTTTTAAAAGGAAAAAAAATTAGCACAAACCTAAACCACCAAATCTGGATTTAAGTTTCAAGCCTGCACATCTAATCTTCAGGACAAAAGAGACTTGAAACCATGGTTTTGGTTCTGCTCACAAAGATAAGAGGAAGTTGTAAAACAAAACCAGATCTGAATCTGAACTTAAGTTCACAGCTGTTTAAGACCAAGGCTTTTGGAGGAGCCCATCACTAGCTCAAATCTAAAGGACTCAAGAGACTTGAGGTTTCCCTGGGTTGATTTCGGCTTTATCTGCTAAATACTGGATCTTTGCAATGTACCACAGACTCCAAGGGGCTGTGCTCAAGTCTCTATCCATCACCACTCTTGTAGAAAGCTCAAATGAAGATTAAACATGGTGATTTAATTTTGAAGAGTAAGCCACAATTACTTAAAAGATTTTATGGCATCAACAAAAATAACCTGAGTTACTTTTCATTGCTGATCAAATTGAAATAAAAGTATTTATGATAAGAAATTATTGCATTACTTAAGGAAAAATACTTAGCATCTGTGTAGTCTATATGCAAATCTACTAGTCAGTCATCTTTTCCCATAGGCTAAAAAATACCAAATTTTTTATTTGCTGTATTTGTATACTATTCACATCTGTCATTACATCAGTGATCTGATTTGTTTGGGAGTGCTAAGACTCAGAACATAATTCTGCACTTAGCTGAAATATTTCTAAAATGCAGGTTAGCACAGAGGCAGATGATAATTCAAAACTTCTCGCTGCTTCTAAGCTATTTTAGCTTCTCTCACTGTCAAACCCAAGTCAAACATACCTAAATTAAAATGCCTATTTGCAGTGTGTCAAAAGACAACAGAAAGATTAACGTATTTTGTTTTTGTTCTTGATTTTTGGTTATATTTTTTCACTTTTCATATGGTGAATAAAGATCCCCAAATAAAAGTGAAAGCCCTCACTAAGTCTGCACTGTTGTATTACTGCTGGGTTTTGATCCATCAGAGAGCTTGAGAGGATAACAAGGACCATAACCCTTCCACACTGGAAATGTTGGCTAAATGGGTCATCTCCTTTCTTTCACCACTGTACCAATTTTTATACATATCCATACATGTAGATATAGGTAGACATGTATACACACAACACTACTCCAAATCTAGTTTTAGATGCTACTAATCATTTTGACAATCCAACATTTATTTACTTCTTCCTCTCCCCATTCCTTAATAACTCACTTGCATAAAACAGACAAGAGTTGCTGAGCAACCTCTGCAGCAGCAGCAAATGGAAGGAACACAACTAAGGAATGGACACAGAAGAGATCCAGGCTCACCTGACCCACACTTGCCAGGCAAGACCTACATCTCCTTAAGCATCATTTCTGGTTTAAGGGCACAAGGAAACAACAGTTTCCTAACAGCAGCACAATACTCTAAAACTAGCCTGGTGATCTGTAACTACATCAAGCCACAAATAAAAGTCCCGATGATTAATGTCCCAAGTTCTTCCTCAGATATTCAATCTATTAAAACAAATATTTTCATACAAACCAGGTTCCCTTCCTGCTGTTCTTTTCAAAGGGAGAATTCTCACTTCCCTTGCAGGCATCTTCACTTTCTGTTTCTCCTGTAATAAATATAGTACACGACTTCCCTATGCAGTCTCTTCTAAAACATTGTAAGATCTAATTAACAACTAGAGATAAAATTACATCTCCAGTGAGTACTGGACACTGGAATTGGTTTCCACACAATACCACTCCCTGCAATAATTTGCAACTGCCCAGCCAGGAGATTTAGATCAACTAAATCATTTTTGCCCTCACCTTGACCACAGCCCCAAGAATGGAAACAGAAGCCCATGAACACAAGCCCAGCACAAAAAAAAAAAAAAAATCCAAGGGAGAACATCTAGCTCTTGTTATAACCAAATGATTTAAGAGTCTCCATTTTGAATACCAAGCAGCTCCAGAGGAAAGTGTCAGGTTTCCTTGTTGCTGCCCCTCTTTAGCCCTCACCATCTATTCTTGGCCATCCTGCAAACACAACCAACAGCAGCACAACTGCATCACACTGAGGACAAACTGACTTTCTGAAGAAACTTTTAGTACTTACATCTTCTCCTCACATGAAATATCATAACTCAAATGAACCTTTTCTATTTTCCTAGTTCAAATAACCTTTCTTATCACAAAAAAAAAAAAAAGGCTTCTTGACACCCATTCTCCATAGCTGTTCCCTCTCTTGCAGTGAACAGTGAACAGGTTTTGGACTGTTTGCTGCTGCACACCACACACTTGTACATCCACCTAAATGAAGCCACTGTGGACCAATTATGAAAGATCTGTTATTCCATTCGGAGTTACTCATTTGGGGATTTGATTTTTGATTTATTTTCCTCTGAGGTTTTTTGGAAGCACTAGTGGGATGAAGTTTAAATTAAATTGGGACCATCAGCATCCCAAAGACAACTATTCAGTAGCACACATTTAATATTGATTTAATATGATTATGTGGGCTGTTTGTAACCGCAGCTGTCTAACTAATGACACTTAGAGACAAAGTACTTTATATAGTCATTACCAGGAATGTTAGAATATGAACCAAACCAAAGCACAGCTAAATAATCCACACAAATATGTAGCTCTGAAAGCTACAGGAAAGTTAAGAATTAAAAGCTGCAGTTTTCAATTAAGAAAGACAGCTGAGGTGGATTGTTTTGTGCATTGCACGCATGGTCTAAGATGCCACTGGATAAATAATTACAATATCACAGAAAACCCAGAGCAACTGACAAACTAACCATTATGCTACACAAAATGAATCACTAATAAATTAAAACTTCATCCATGCCAATTGTCTTTGAGGACAACCTTTTTTATTCCTGGCTGCTTCCAGAGCCAGGCGCATCAGCCAGTTCCAACATACTGCTGAACTTCGGAAAACAGGAATGCCTGTATTAGGGCACAACATAGCTGTTCCTAAAATATCTCTTATAGCTATAACTACCAATGCAGGAAGTGGAAGGAAGTGAGGTGTAGTCTTCTAATCCCACCAAACACCATAGAGAGGATTTTGGTAATGTTAGCGCCAATCCTCGCTGTGGTTTGTGGCTACACATGGGGCCCTGTGCCAGGGCCTTGCTCAGTGCTGAACACAGCAAAGTTGAGACACCTTTGCTAATTTCAACAGTGCCGTTCTGAGCACATGGACTTGATTTAAATAAATTTTAAAAGTGGGTGATAAACAGAAGTAGGATTGTGCAAGAGAATTCAGCATCAACAAGTGATTAGCAACATCTCCCGAGTATGTCAGAGCACAGGGGTCAGCTGTGACAACTTCTGGCCCATGAGGGAAGAGTGTGGATGTCCTTTTACCTGAGGCAGAGACTGTGGTTGGGCTGCACAGAACCCAGGGGTGATGGGACCTCTGCAGCACCCAGAACCCGGTTCTTACAAGAGCTGAGGCCACTCCTCAGCACAGCATGAGCACCTGGCCACAGACCAACACCTCAACACCCCAAGGCTGGGTCAAAAGCAGCACTCAGGGCCCCGCCAAGATGGCGGCGCGGCCTGAGGGAG